GTTATTTCTTCGTTTGATTTGTGTTGTTTGGTTAAATTAAGTAAAGTTAGAAAAGAAAAACAAAAAAAACTGTAGTCATGACTATTTCGTAGAAAAGTGAAATAATAATGAATATTTTTTCTAAAGAAGGTACGTACGTGTATTTGTAATTTTAGAATCGATTGCGGAATTATCGGGTGATAATGTAATCATTCTTTACAATTTAACGTGTAATACCATCATAGCCTACAAATCATGCCGTGTTTGCCATTTTCTCTTCCAATTAAACGAGTCATCATTTTTCATAATTGTTCGAGATATAGAATATAGAGATACTTAAATTTAGTTTATGAAAGATAGGAATATAGTAAACTAATCAAATGGGGAAAAAGATGTCTTAAATCTTGGTTAAATTATAGAGTTTTGGTGAGCTTTCTCTATGCAGAGAGGGAAAACAAAGCTTAGCTTTTAAACTTTTGTTATGCGTTTAGAACCTTCGGCGGAAAATTAAGCTTAGCCTTTTGTTAAAAACGGCACATCTTTCGGCTATCGTATCTATAGTATGATCCCTTTTAATTCTATAATCATATATATATATATTAATATTCTACTTAATCATGTTTTTCCACTAAACCATTAACAATTTAAAGTGAAAACATGTACATGCATCTATGTAAAAACTTATAGGAAAATGTGTTGCTTATACGTACATAATCTTTCGTTTTTTTTTTTTTTTGCTAAAACATAATCTTTCGCTATTTCAGGGTTTTCTTAAACAGGTTTTATTATAAAATTTTGTTTGTAGCCCCAAAAAAGTCTAAATTTTAATCAAAAGATCTGTTTGACAACAACTTATAGATTTGTGTATATGAAGTTTTTCTTAGGAGATTGTATTTTGTCCACTGTGGTTTAATTGGCTAGTTTAGTGTAACTTTGGGTTAATTGATAAAGAAATGGTTATCAAAAAAAAATTGTAGATCAATAAAAGAAAATGAAAACGAGTGTCAAATCAATCCGGGCGTGGCGGGATGGGTTATTGGACACTCTGTACATGACGAAGGCTATTATTGTTTTTTTACTATTTTACGTTAATAACCAAACCTTGCGTGATATTTTGGACTATCTTTTTTTACTCTTCTTAATATTTTTTTTTTCTATATTATATTGTGAAATACTATAATAATAGCTTCATGCACTGCCCCCTCTTGTGTTCCCTATCGTATTATATACAAAAAAAAGTGCTCTCTCTACATAATACAACAACTTTAAAGACATATTTGTTCTTCTTTTCATGTCCCACTAATTGGGTTGAACGAGTAAAAGATGACCCACGGTCTTCTCTAGAAGGTAGTGAAGTTGTTGGTCTAATTCTTTTTAAGTAAACTACGATCTTTTCCCCTTTTTTTTTGTTTGCTAAAATCTTTTCCCTTTTCTTTTTACCAATTAAACTTTACAAAATGCTATTATCATTTATCAACAGCTTTGATAATTACTAGAAGTATAATATAATTAATTAGACAACAACAAAAAAGACATGCAAAATTACGCATTGAGTAACGAGAATGTTGTATCTAATATATCTCATCTCGTAACTTTTAATTACATATACAAAAAGAAAAAGAGTAAGAATAACAAAACCCAAACCTAATCACAATATCAGCTTTCACTTCTACTCAGTAGAAGTTACATGCAAACCAAAAATAACCAAAAGATCGAGGAACAATTAAAGGGGTCAAACATCTGAATCCCTAATTACATGTCAAAGCTAACATCGGAGATCGATTAATGGTCTTGTACTCTTGTTTTTGTGTATCATTGCATGCATTACATATATATATAGTAATAGCT